TTTTGGGAAAGTAAGTACACACAGACCTTTAGTCTACATTATAACTCATGGTGAAATTTTAATTTATAATGCACGTCAGCTTGCATTACGTTTACCTGCTTACAGCTGCGATTGGACGTGACAGAGTCGACCAGCCCTTATATCTAGACGCAAGATATTTCCTTCAGAGCAACCGAAAATGTTTGCAAACTCTCAATATTTAATTGCATAAATTCAGAAATATTCATAAGGCTGTATGAAGATGGCATCTGTGGGGTTCACCACAATTAATTAACGAAAACATATACCAGTCTCATATAATTCGGACACAGATTCTGATACGAAAAATTCTGCACCCGCAGACAAACGCACGTACACACCATTCTTTCGTTAGGTGTTTACAGTTTCTTCGTCTGTGACTTCATAGCTGTAAGGCCGTAGCATGTTTCGTAGTGCAAAAGCGATCTGTCTCGTACGCTTACCACTATTTCGTTTGGTGTGGTGCGACAGTACATTAACAGAGCACTGACTAGTGAGAATACGCATTTATCATAAGAACTGAGCAACTTAGTTGTTTTGGTAGAGTATTAAGAAAAACCCGGACGAACAACAGGTTTGTTCTTTACTCGTTTCTGGCCAACAGGAATATAGTATACAAATGATTATAATAAAGTCCCTGTATCATTATTTATAATTTATTTTAGAAAATCAGGACTTAGAATTAGTTTCTTTAGACCTATAAACATTAAAATGTGTATTTCGTATAATATACCTACCGTGTTATGCTTTTTATGCATAACCTTTCAAATTTCAAAAGATAAACAAATTTTAGGAAATTGCGTGATTTGGACATTATATTATTCTGTCTGAAAATTGTAATCTTGTCTTAACGAGGTACTTGGGCGACAGTTTTGGAAACAATAGACTGTACATGAAGAGGTAAAACGAGATGGAAACAATTCCAGGTATTTTGTGCACCAGTGCGTTAGAAGTCGTAAGGAGCGACGGGAAATAATGTAGCGGAAGTGGTCACTGTGTGGTTGATATAATGAAGGATATAATAAAACGTTGGAAGTTCCATATTAGCAGTTTGAATGCATTTCGTGTTGCTGCTGTACTTGTTACCTACTTTCCTTACTCGCTATAACAAAGTACGAAATATAAAGTAATTAAAATATTTAAACACAATTCCACAATGATAAAGTTAAATGGGGTCTGCAGGGCAAGTAGCGCGCACGAAATAAGACATGCATATAAATTTTAGTTGGAAAGTGCGAAGGGAAGAAACAGACCATTTGAGAAAAAATATTAAAATTGGTCTCAAAAGTGGTACGTGAGAGTGTGAAATGGATTCTTCTGCTACAGGTATAGTAAAATGGCAGGTTACTGTAAACATGGCAATTAATCTTCAGGCTCATAACACGTGATAATTCAGTGACTAAGCAACTGTTAGCTTTTGAAGAAGAACTCTATTCTCTGTGTAATGCATTCAGAAAAAAAAATAAGGGCAGCAGAAAATAACTTTTTCTTTTAAAAACTGATTGAAGTTATCTGTGACATAACCTCTGACTACTTGCTAATAGCAACATCGCTGAATTGTTCGTCTGTTACTTTACTGGTATTAGCACATCCTGGTACCTGCGCGGATTTCTCTTGTATTAAACCTGTCCAACACTAGGATCGTCGGTTAGAATCCGTGTTGTAGCATGGATGTGTTTCCGATTTTTCTGTATGGTCTTCTTCTTGTAGCTTTACGAATGGGTTATTCGAACTAAAACCATAGCCCTGAGTGTTGTGTAGACCATAAGATATTGTTTTGTGTGTTCGCCGCTCTTCAACACGTATCACTTCAAGCTTCTCGCATTTTGAACTATAGATATCAACTCAGTTTATTCTTTTTTTCACGCAACCAACCGTTGCATTTTTATGTGTCTTTCTGTAACGAAGCAAATTTCGGTGTTCTTACCCTCCATACAATGAATTCCGACGCTAGCTCTATAGAGCAGAGTCCTTCCTAAGAACCTAATGGTCGCCCAACTGGTCAAATAATTCCTCGCTTTTTATGGAACCCGAATGTTCATTGCTTTGTACACAAGAAGCCGCCACTGAGTCTGCCTCATATCCTCTTTCCTTAAGATTAGTAGGATTTGAGGTTTTCGACCACTTTAGATTTGTCTGGATGCTCCTGTTGGATGTGGGCTGGTGCTTCTTGCCTCTGGTCTTGACTGCATCAACCAGGGCCAAGACATTCAACTAGAGGACACCACAATCCTGTTCACCAAATCCCGATACATGGACCGGATGATCCAAGGAGGCCATCGAGATAGAACTTTATCCGAACATCTACAGGGAGGATGGCCTTTTCCTGAGCCGGTCATGGAAGCCCCTCGTCCACTCTCTCAAAGGACCTAGGAAGCCTCCGATACAGCATTTCCAGTTCCGCCCTGGACACTAGACCACTACACTCTTTTCAGTCCTTATTTGCACTCGCCTTGTTCCTCCTTACTACGTCCACCCACTTCCTGTATGTCCAGTGATCCACCTGTCGGACCCCGAGTTTAATGCCATTTATTTTATGGGCCTACGCGTTAATTACAGATGTCCTGCTTGTCAAGAAACTGTTAAGCGAGCAGGAAAATATGGAACAACTTCGAATATAATGAGGCGGGTAAATTTAAAAAATTTTGAGACCCATTTTTGTAGGTATTCGTCATGAATCCTACATATGTAACGAAAGCCATAGACCTATACCTTCTTATTTTGTAAATTTTCAAAATTATGTACTTGAAATCATTAATAAAATTTGTGAAAAAACCATATGATTCTTTTACGGAACCCGAAAGTTCATTATCGTTTTCATACGAGTCGCCTTATGCTTGTCCGAACACACCATTTTAATATTATCGTACCTTCTATGTGATTAAGTCCTTTATTATATAATTTTTTCCGTTCTCGAAATTTCCAGATATTCTCTTTGCTACCTTGTTATCAAAGATCATGTGAAAAAACACGATGTATTAATAATTGTGTCTTCCACTTACATCACACACAGCTGTGCAACGTATTAAATTATTTTAATTTATATATCCATTTCCGGGTCATTCATTATATAACTTTTTGCCTCAACGTTCTCGTTTCGTAACATTATAATTCTACGTGTTTTAGCGTGATTATCCCCAAAGCATAGGGGATATCTTATCGAACCTCTCCCCCTCCCTACTCCATCTCAGTTTCCATGTTCCTGCCTTTAGTCATGCTATCCCACTTCTCGTATTTCTTACACAACAGCATTACCTGCTTACAGCAATAAGAATGCAAGAATTTAAGACTGGAAGTCTATATTAGGAAAGTGCGCATTCCACACTTAACTCGTCTTTTCTCGTTTTAGTGGTACCCAAGACATTAAATTACAATACTTCCTTTCCTCACTATAATTCTGAAGGCCTACGGAGCTATTAACTTAAAAATATGTAAGAAATTTTAAAACTGTACTCAGTTTTAGAATATATTTACTGCAGATGTATGTATCAACGCTCATAAATAGCAGTATGTAGATGCATCTCTTCATTGCATTTAGTCACACTTATATGTCTATATATATCACATGACGAAGAGTTAAGAGGTATTCAGTTTTGAGGCACGACACACCCACGGACGAAAGGCTTTTAGGAAAGAGCTCTTCTCACCTTGAAGGCTGCATGTGCTGCAAAAATATAACTCGTTTTGCTGCAAATGTTATTGACTGCCCACCCGCCCGCAGAAAATGGACAGTATTCCGTGAGCAATATAGCTTAGTTATATATACGTATACTTAGTTACACCATCAATGATACCAAAACTCTTTAGTAATTTACACAGCAGTGCTAAATAACAAACGTCCGGATCAGTACTAGTGACTCTCTGTGGAAACGTTTAATACGCTAAAAAATTGCTGTGGACGGATATTTCCTATTAGGGTTTAGATGCAAGAAACTGCTTACATAATATATATCTGTACAAATTCTAACAGAATTTATTTCTGACAGGCGGACGCTAGCTGGCGAGGTCATCATCTTGTGAGTTTGATCATTTGCATGTAAACTTCCTGAGTCCGTTGAATGTCGTATACTCATTATTTATACAAACGTCATTTATAAACAGAGACGTATAGATAAATGGAACATCGGAGACAGAAGTTAAAGCTTTCGTAACTCGGGGAATCTGATAATGAAAATTATTCCTTCCACATAAATTAAATGAACTTAACTTCCAATACACGGTAAAATTGAGAAACTGGTGCTATTTCTTTCAGTCGTTGTAGTCAAAGAGAGTTAACCATTCCTTAATTAACCATGCTTTTACCCTGTAGGGTTAAAAGTAAAAAGAGAGGTAGGTGCCTCTGCCTTTAGCAGTGGGCCACATAGGAGGGTGTACGTGAATCCCCCACACATTTTTTTTTACTTTCGGCAGTGTGGAGGTTAGTAGTCAGCTTTTAGGTCAGACTACATTATCTGCTGCGGAAGTGCCCCGGTGCCCGATTGATAGTTTGAGGTGTGGGCACAATAGCCTCTATGGAAATGGTTCCAAACGGAAATATCCTTACCCATATCGAACTCCAGCTGTCCGTCCCATAGCAAAACACTTGCCAAGTAGGGTGTTGTCGTAATTTTTTGTGTTCTATATTTTAAATTAAAAATTGGGCGATATTTTATAGTAAAAAATAGGTGTTACGAGCATTCATTAAACTATTTAAATGTTAACATTGAGGGACATATGGATAAATAAGAAAGGAATGCATACAGGTTTTGTTGAAACTATTTACATACCCAACGCAGTCTGCTGTACCTAGATTGTTTTGTTCACTCAGCTAGTCTTGTTAAATTAAAATTTGTGATATAAATAAACGTATTTTGGAATCTGGTTTAAATTTGTAATTTCTGCAAGTAGGTCTAACGGTTCTGTGAGCAGAGGGTTTATAAAAAACGTGATTTAAACAAACTGTATTTGTAATTGCTAACAGGAGCACAATTGTCTGTTTGCAGGTGAGGGTTGTGTGGAAAAGCCGCTGTCTACTCTGTGGAAGAACTACACGGGCAGCTCGAAGCCGGACGTGCAGATGAAGGTGACCGTGACGCAGTCGGGCCTCAAGGCCGTAACGAAAGAACACGGCCTGACCGAGTACTGGAGTCACCGCATCACGTACTGCGCAGCCCCGTCCTCCTTCCCACGAATATTCTGCTGGGTGTACCGCCACGAGGGACGGAAACTCAAACAAGAACTTCGATGCCATGCTGTGTTGTGCTCCAAAGAGGCTGTAGCTAGACGTATGGCGTCTCAACTAAAAGCCAAACTAGCACAGTCACTGTCGGAGTTCAAACGTGACAAGGTCTGCCGGCAGAATGCTCGATTGTCTCTTGCAAATTCTGTTTATGAGAACCCTTCCTTACCGCGGAGGAAGATTCTTCTGTCAACCGGTTCTCATAACTACAGACCTCCACTTGAAAGATCAAAATCAGCTCCGAAACTCATGGTCATCGAGGAGAGTCTCGAAGAAGGAGAAGAAGAATGCACAGATATACAGAGAGACCGTGTTAGTAGATTGCACAAAGACGCCAGTGTTCTGAATAGGCTGGAAGAAGTGTCTGGCGAAGATACGTATCAGGATCATCAGAAGGAAGCTGAGGAATTAGCTCAGACATACCACGACAAGGATGAAACGGAGCAATGTGACAGTCCGAGATCTTTAGGGACTTTGAGGTTACAAAGGGTCAGGAATGAAGTTCATAAAGAGAGGAATGTTATTTCACTAGATAAATGCAGAAGTGTGGCTAGTGTTATATCGAGTGATGAAGAGTTGGGCCATTTAGGAACAAATGGGTCGTTAGTGTATAGGTTTGATAAGGGTCGAGGAAACATACTTGATAGGCAAACAGCTACAAGTTGTGGTGTGAAAGCATTCAGAGGATCGGAAGGCGAAATGAAGAGGAAAGTGTGTTGGAATTTAGAAACTAGGAGTGACGGTGAAGACTCTGACAGCTGGATTAGAAATGTCCGCAATCATCACACGGAGAGATTATTGGTGATCGGGTCCTGTATTAAAGATGGCAATGCCCGGCGGTGTATCCCTACATCAGGAGGAATGAGTGAAGATGATCAAGTTCAGAACAATCAGAGGGAGTGTGAGAGTGACGAAGGGTCAACCAGTTTACAAAGTATTTCTAGCAGTGCAAGTTCCAGTTCTGACAACTCGTCTCGCATCGCTTCAGATCTTAGACCTCTTGCCCCCTACGAGTATGAGGACGCAGACATCCGTACTCCTCAAGACGAGGTGGAGGTTGATCTGCACCCTACGGGTGGACTTCTCAACAGAAGACAACATGTTGCTGTTGACCTGGATCGACTCTCGGCTCAACTCAAGCGATCTGCGACTTTCCCTCCACCCTCAGCACTTGGTTGTGCCAATGGCGGTAAGAATCAGGAAAACGTGTACGTTCATAACCCTGAAGCTGACCTCTTGGTGTTAAAACAGTCTATTAGATGGTTTTAGTTTCAGTTTTGATGTGTTTTTATGATGGTGGACCAGATTGTGACAGGCTTGGCACAGTGTTTTTTTCTTGTATAATTACATTTTATAATGAAAGAGAAGTCATGGGGTAATTCGGAAAGTAATATCAATAAGGAGACTGACATGGTCATTATGTTTGCTTTCACTGCACATTCTTATACCCCAGAAACTTAATGTCGGTATTATTTTCGTTTTAAAAACACTATTACTGGTTTGTATAAACTTTTAACATGAAGAAGAGAATGAGTATCATTGAAGTTTTTTTCATTCCACCATTATGTTATCACATTTCCTTTCGTTCTGTAGGCTTGCTATATTACAGATATGTTTTAGTTCCATGGAACTGTCCTTAGTATTTGTTCAGTTATCTGGTCAGTTACACGTTCCTATGTATCTTTCTAAACAATTAATAATTGGTAGAGATTTAACTTACCCTTCCCTGACACACAAGTGCAGAATTAATTAACACTTTAACAATAGAGTTGGAGTATCGAAATAAGTTCACTGGCAACAACTGGTGTGATACCAAGATTTTTGTGAATTGTATACAATACAGTGTTTCAGGTATGAAAACACAATATTAAATAATATTTTTACCGTAGGCATTGCCTGTACACACTGAAGGCTGACCTATTTCTATGCTCTAATCCATCCCAGCTACAAAAATACATAGTAATGTTGGAGTGCACAGGATAATCAAGTTGTAAGATTTGAGGTTTTCACAGCGGTGAGTATGAAGATTTCTGTCTTCTGGGTTGTTGCGCTGTGTAGTCTGGTCGATGTTTACCAACGTTTCAGAGGTCATACTGCCTCCGTCATCAGAGTATGAAGATTTCTGTCTTCTGGGTTGTTGCGCTGTGTAGTCTGGTCGATGTCTACCAACGATTCATCGCCCTGATGATGGAGGCAGTATAACCTCTGAAACATTGGTAAACATCAACCAGACTACACAGTGCAACAGCCCAAAAGACAGAAATCTTGATAATCGAGTTGTTATTCTCACATTTTAGGCAGATAATTTAATGTCAATTTTACTGATGGAATGACTTCAAATAATGATTGAAGAGACTACAGTAGGCCTAACTTATTATGACAGATCAATTCCACACTCAAGTTATGCAACACTCAGAGGCATCCACACGTTAAGCATATTTGTATTGATCTATTGTGGAATGGGTGACTGACTCCACTCACTGTTTTCCTCTTCACCAGTGTTACATATCACATCTGTTGTCACTTTTTAAACAGAGATAGTCAGATACTCACCTCATATTGGATTTGCAGATTACCTGAGAAGACTTCACTCATTTACTCCCTATGAAAACTTTAGATTTTACTGATAGAGGTGGTTTATATTTTCTATACAATATACTATTCACCAAAATGATATATTTGTTACTATTTGAATTAAATCATTCAATTTTGACCTTGATAACAGAAGAGATGGTTCAATATATAAAGCTTTACTTGAGTAATATTTAAAATTTCTTGGATTATGTAAATTGTATTCCTGCATGCACATGGATGATTGTTATTTATATAACACCTTTAGGACTTTTGTCTGTTCGTAGGCGAGGTTTCTGAACTTGACTCACTGTCAGAGGATGATGATGATGCAACTGAAACCCCAGGGGAACATGAGGAAGAGGAAGAGAGTGATGAAAGTGGGTACGCAGAACTTATGGACATTGGAGTAAAAAAATTGGGACAAGGTATTATCTCAGCCAACAAGAAAGAGACAGATGTGCCCCATCATCATCTGATGAAGACTACCCTTAGGGCAAACAGTCGTAGTTCACAGTGCTTGCAGGTGTGACATCACTTGGTCTTTATTTAGCGAGGTCTGGTGGTTGTATTGATCTTAACACCTCTCCAGGTATCACAGTAGGAACGTAGCTTACAATTCACATTTTGCCTTCCTTTATATGCCACATGTGTTTACTGTAACTTCATCAGGATTCATAACATATAAGAAATATTTAATCAACTTATATTCCATAGTGGATTTCATGCAATATGTATTTTGGAGTATCAAGGGCCTTTGCAGATTTGCCAAAGACATCTAGTACTTAGAATCCTGACTCTATAGTCACAAAATGTCATAACCAGTAATTCATTTCAATGAACAGCTACACTACAGCTTTCTGCACTCTTACTCTTGAATAATAAATTGAGAGGTCAGTGTTACATCTGTGCCCACTGTTCATTAAAGAACCCTTTAAAAATTTCACATTGTTAATTTAGTATGAATTTGTTTTGAAATTCATTAATTAAGTAACCAGTATTACAATACTTCAAATACTTGAGAGATGACTATTTCTAGAAGTTTCCTTGGTCATAATTATCAGTATAATCACAAATCAAGGACAAGATGACTAAACTCTTTTGCTATCTTCTTAGTTCCGATTTATTGGAAGCACTTTAGAGGCAATCGTACAGAAGATTACAAATTTAATTTTACATATCTTATAGCTAAAATTATGTTGTATACCACAAACAATAAAATACTTTATAAAGGAAGGGTGTCGTGCGTTAAAAAGTGTGGTACTGGGGTGTAGTGTAAGCGCTTTTGACTGTAATGAACATTTGCAATGACAAAGTGGAAATGAGACGGGTTCAGCATGTGACGCCATTATTATATGGGGTGAATGCGATGGTGAATATGTGCTCTCAGATAGGAATGGAGAAACTTTGGCATGTAAGTGACTTATGACGTGATATGTTAAGATAAATAACATAAACATGGCAGTTTTTAATGTTAACAATCATTCCAAAGACTCAAAGTTTCTGTATTTTCAGTCCATATGACAACTTATGAATCTTTAACTGAGTTGCCAAAGTTTGTCTGATCCTGCTTTAGAATATTAAGTAAGGATACATATCGATTAGTAAGCGTACTCATAGCACTATTGAAAATTGTAACAATATGTTGTAGTATTCTTGTCAGAGTGTAATGGAAATGGAATCAAAATACAAATTAGTAATTATGTTTGTTTTCAATGTTTTCTTCATCAGTCTTATAGTCAGATTACCTCATAGCATCACAGCCAAAGATTTGCGTACTCTTAGGTTAGAAATGGAGTGTATGTAGTGCTCGTCTGACTGCAGTATTTTCTGTATTACAGTAAAAGAGGGTATTTTGTTGCCAAATGACTTTCTTTAGTTCTGTATTATCATCTGAATAACATATCAAATACAATGTAGGATAATTTCTTTTCTGCATAAAATTCATGTCCAGTTTACTTTCAATATTGCAACACATCCAAATGAGATAAAAACAGATTTATGTTTTGAACACATAATTACCAACATGTGAAGTATAAGAACATTACCAATAAAATTATGAAAAAGTGATATTATTATCGTTACTAAATATAATGCACACAGTTAGCTCTGTCTTTTTCTTATCTTATGAACATCATTATTGCTGTGGGTGCGACAGTTTATCTCTTTAGGTCCCTGAATAATTTGCATATTAAATTACTCCAATTGTCTTGTTGCAGGTACTGTGTAGTATGGCAGGGACATGGAATTTCTTTTTGTTAGCATTATAGATTCAATTTTCAAACGTATAGCCTCGTCTTCAAAATCTTATAAGCATCCAGTAATTATTTCTCTATGAGGGCCTGGTGCATTATGAGGTCTGAAATTATAAAAGTTAACAGCAATAATCTGATTTTACTACAACAGACTCATAATTACATACAACTGGTCAATACTTATAGGAAAACCGCTAATGTTGAACTGTAGGAGAGTAGTTACTGTGGTTTCAAGGACTCAAGATGCACACTGAAAAAGATTTAGACCTGCAAGTGGTAGAATGGTAGAATGCCAATTAAATGCCTAATTTTCCAGATTGTTCACTTAACTGACTCATGATGACTTTGAATACTCAAGAGTTTATGGGGAAGAAATCTAGCAGATTATGTATGCATTACACTCGGTGAACAGAGATACTTCACGATTGATAATTGTACAATGTCCAGTGGCATCAAAACATATTTTATTATGTGAGATTTCAGGTTCTCATGATGGCTGTCTTATGGGTTGTTAACCATGTTGTTTGGTAGAAATTTATTAATTTAAACCTTTACCAGACTGCATAGCACAATAACACAGAAGACACCCATTTTCATGTTGTTATTACATCCATTGTTTGAATGCTCATGTGTATAAGGAGTAATTTAATGTATTTTTGCAGACAGAAAATCTTCATTCAGAAATTAACAACATAATTGAAAATAAAAGCAGTGCTACAAATTAAAATTATAGTAACAGTATAATGCTACTCCTTTAATATGTTTGTCATTAGTGTTATAAATATATAAACAAAGTGTCAAAAGCACCCATTTGTCACTACAGGTTTTCCTAAAAGTGAAATTTGTTAGAATAATGAAATTGCTTATTTATTATAAGAACCCTTAAATATATACATCGATTGATTAATTTTGCATTTACTGCAGCTTTGTTCTGGTCACTTTGTGAAATTAGCAATTAATAAGCAGTGGTCATAATTGCATAGCAACCAGACTTGAGCTGCAGAGACACAGAAAATTGTGTGCAAGGTTTTAATTTATAACATATGTAACGCATGGGGTAAGACAGAAATGAAAGTACACGTATTGCAACGACTGATTATATTTTACACAGACCCATCATTTTTATCCTTGTAATGTTAGGATGCCTGGCTTTAGGGAGAACATCTTGCATGGTTGTGAATTATACACTTACATATCAATAGGAGTATTCACCACCTTTTATACACAACACTCATATTTCCTACACAATTACAATGAACTTTTGAGTTATGTCAGTTTCTTTTATTAGTAGTAGAAAAATGGTAAAACTCATTCTTAGAATAAGTCATATTTGACTGTTTTACCAATAATTTAATTTAATTTTTTATTTTATAATGATGAAATGAAATGAATGCTATAAAACATTCTGTATGTCCTTAGTTACATTTAAAGCTATATGACTGATTTCATATTATGTCCTCATTCACAATTTGGCTTTTATCTGCATGATTGGTATATGTAGTATAAGAAACAAATAGAATTAAAATCTAGTTTGAAGTGTTCACTGCAAAGTAATATTCCAGTATGATTGTAAATTTCATCTAAAGGGAATTTGAGATTAGATAATTAACAATACTAAAGGGGCTTGTGCTACAAAGTTCCAACAATTTATTTAAAGAATATAAATTTAGTAGGTAATGAAATATTTCATATCTTAATATAGCTGTTGGCTATTAAGGCATTATTTGTACTTACACTTGTCATATGGTGATGATAAAGGCTACAAATCTCACAGTATTTAATAAATAAACCTCTTAATTTGGTGGACATAATATAAGAAACATAACTGTGATATGTTAGGTAAAGGAAAAAAATAAATTTGTGTGGGGAACTGAATATATTCAGACAGTAACTTTTATAATACCAGGCAGAATCCTAAACTTCAAGACTACAAACATTGGTATATAATTGTCTTTTAAAGCAACTGCCTGAATGCAAATTAATTATGTGAAACTTAAATCTCAGTAACTAATATATTTTGATATCCATTATAGTGTTTTGGACCATAGTGGCATTTCTATAGTATTCTTTGTTGAAAGTTCTGTATTTTTTTAACTTTTAGTGCAGTGATGAAAGAAGAAAGATTCGGGGTTAAAAAATTAAAGTGGTGAAGTAAAACGACCATATAAAATTAATGCATGGAGAGACCAAAGAGTGGTACTTTAGTGAAAATATTTAGATAAATATTATTTTATTAACTGCTGTATACCTCTGCCATAGTCAAATGAAAAGGCTTTACAATTTTTAAAACATATGCAATAAAGTAAACATTACTCCCTTCCTTATTGACTTTTGTTAATTCTGCTCTGAATGTCTTAAAATGTTTTAAAATTAGACCCTTTTAGAACCTCTGGGCAATGAAAATAAAACAGGGATCAAGTCAATGGATTATCAAACACTGGTATTTGCTTTTTGGCAAAAAATCATGTTAACTAAAAAGCTGTATGGAAAGGCAAGCTGTCATGATGAAAATCATCTTGCCTGGTATAGATTTTGTCTTTTTGTTGTAATGCAGTGCTGTAAACATTAAAATTGAAGCCAGAATGCTTGATTGTTAGTTTTTCATGTAAAATTTCACAGTGGATTATTTCTTTGACATCAAAAAACAATATATCTTTTTTATATATTCAAGTCTCAGACACTGTAGACTTTATGATTGGATACTGACATCTGTTTCTCAACCTTACTAGAAAATCGAGAATCGTCACTTGTCATTATTTTTTCTTTTCCAGAAGCTTGTATTATTCTAACCATTTTTATAAAAATCATAAGAACATTTCTTTTATCCCCATGTGTTTGATAATTGCAGTGAAGACACGCCCTGTGGTCTTCTGGGATGAAGTCACTTCTATCCTGAAGTTGAAGGTGATATTTTTCCACAATGTTTGTAACCACCCACAAAGCTAGGTGGTGTCACAATCCAAAAAACCATAACTGACAACAAAATATTGTGTACTGTAACAACAAAGGAAACTAAATCCAAACAACCGTCTGACACAGAAATGCTAATAGCAGTGCTTTTAGTTGCTGATAGTATGTACGAGTATGCAGAAACATCCAGTGAAGTAACCATTTAGAATCTTGAAACAGTGACATGATTATTTACCTTTACTAAAACTATGGAGAATGTTAACTTCTCATGATGATCAATCTCTTTAAGATTAAGAAAGTTACAGATGAGGAAATGCAAAAAGATTGCATATGTTGGACTAAACATTTTCCATGCCATAGCAATGTAAGAAATCTTAATTCCGTAAAAGAAATAACTTTAAAACTCTGTATTTGAAGAGCAGGGGGAAACAGATTTGAAATGTTTCTCAATAATTCTTAATAAATCTAATCAATTCTTAATTTCCTTTTATATGTAATATAAGTGCCCGCCGCAGTGGCCACGAGGTCTGAGGAATGGACCTCGTGCGCCTGGCCACTGGGACCGTGGGTTCGAGTCCCACTCAAGGCATGGATGTTTGTCCGGGACTTTCTGTGTTTGTATAGGTAGAGGCCTTGCGTTGGGCTGATCACTCATCCAAGGAGTCCTACCATTGTCCAAATAGATCAAAATGAATAAATAAAAAACCCCGACACCTACGGGTAAAAGAGAAAGAAATAAATGTAATACAAGTAGAAGAGCTGGAGAATTTAACATTATACAGGATATTAATAAAACTATATGGCAGTACAGAATGCGCAAGTCATTTTTTTTTTGTTCCAGTAAATTACAATTCATGAAGCGAAGTTTTTCATGCTTCCTGTTGTGTTAAAAATAAAATTCTTCTAAGTATGTATGTATTTACTTCTAATACCTATACTGATTCTTTGCACAGAGTATCACAAGAGGAAAATGTAAATGTAGTTGTAAATCTTGCCATTTTTTTGCTACCCCTGTGGATACAGAAGTACATGAAACTGAAAGTATCATTATGTAACTATTTCACTACTAATATATATTGCATAAATGGCATGTATTGGAAACTGCTGTTTTGCACTCTGTAGAAGGTATACAATAATTTTTATGTACTTTGAGGAACGAAAATAAAATAAAGGAAGAATGTAGAATACTGTGGTATGTGAAATTCTTATGTTTTATCACTTCCAAGTAATTTCTATTTCCACGATTATTTCTTGTTTCCGTTTTACACAACCTATGTAAACAATTGACTGTGCCATATTTAAGACTTTCATAGACCAGTAATTATTTGAAAAATTTCGAACAGAAATTGTATACAAACTATGAAAGTCTTATAAACTACACTTCAAGGTTCAGTATTTCGAGCCACGTTTATTACGTAACAGTATACCTGCAAAGACGACTGATAACCGATTGTGAAATGCAGTGATACCATCCGTACATTGCATTGGGAATCACACTCCACAAGGATATAACTGAACTGAGATTTGAATAATGTGGCTGGTGACGACATTTGCAATTCAGTAACCGAGATTGGCTAAGAACATTTGTTACCAAACTTTACATTGTTTATTTTTGTCGATATTCTGTTCTCGCACAGATGTCACACAAGTCAAGCGATCGATCAGTCATTGCTAAATCGATATCGACATTGTAATTGGTGGGAAATAAGTTGATAGTAAGCTAAGAAGTGTGTTATTGGAAGTGTTTCTGTGAGGATACAGTGATTTGCATTGAATATAATCGTGAAACAGGCGTGATTTATTGAATGTGTATATTCATGGGTGTTAATAACGTCACATGACTCAGTTGTACGCTGACAACGTAGAAAGATGAATCGGATTAACTATGTGGCAGAAGTCGTAATGATCTGTTCTGGTGTTTGCAAGTATGTTCATATTGATTCCGTGTAGACAGGTAGGCCTACATTACATAATTATTTTATGCATACTATATAGTCTGAGTAATATTTAAGACGGGGAAGACACCGTAGCAATAGACAACATTGGACCTAATTTGATTGTATATCTGTAATGTTCAGGGCTTTAATAACATACATATGGACAAAGGTAACTGGACCAAATAATGACACTGCCCTTAATATGGACACCCCTGATAAAATCTTCAAAACTTTTGTTTTACACATGGAACATACCATGCATCTATTTACATCTGCAAATGGATCCAGATCACGGCATTAGCAGTTGTGTTCATGTGATCCTGACTGTGCGTGTGTAGACTTGTTTGTGAACATTTGGAATCGCTGAGAAGGGGCAGGAAGGGCGTGGGCTACGCCCCGGGCCTCGCTTGCCTCTCGTCTTAATATTGCTGCTGTATTTTGCCTTATACATATACTGTTATCTGAGACCGACATCAATGAGAAGAAATTAAAGTTTTTGATAAAAGTCTATGATATTTTTGTAATGTAAGTGAAGCGTCCCGCTACATGCCTATGCAGGCACTTGGGGAGGGGGGGGGCAGAGGTATGGATCCTACTCTTTCTTGACCTCGGCACCATTGTAATGCCTTCCATAAAATACTGAGTTCTTTTTCAATCAAAATGTTTATTAACTTCTTATTATCTTAATGTTTACTGCCGCTCATATTAGACTGTCATAATATTAAGCGAAAGGTACAAAGTATAACTTCCACTTAAATGTTTTGTGTGCCTTGGCTCCTTTCGACCCCTTTGTCTTCTTATTCTCCTCAGCAACCTCTTCTCAAGCGTTACATTACGGCAGTTTTCATTAGTCCGTTAATAAAGTTGGGCGTCAGCAGTAGTCACATGGTCAGAAGTTGTAACATCAGAGATAGATGACTCACTAAACTGCAAGTCACTGATCAGGGTTTCTCACGATGGTGTCATTGAAGTGTGCATATTAGTGGACATTTTACCTAGTTTTTAGTTTAAAAACCCACGTTTATAAACCTCGCTCTGCTTTAGTTATCAGATGGAATTATGCAACCCAGTCAGTTGGGGTCATTGTACTCTTACTTGCAGGGAGCCAGTAAACTGTTCGGAGTTTTATACCAGTTTTTGCAACAACCGTGGTATCTTTAACGTGGTAAACGAGGTAGTCATATACAAGTACGCCATCTAATTCAAAGCAGACCTAACATGCAGACAATTCGCTCCGCGTGAACACTCGCCGAATATTTGCATTGTATGTTGATGACGTTCTGGGTTCTGAAGTCGTGGGTAGAGAAACATTTCGGAGAAAGCGCCATGGGAACGACAAATCTCATATTTTGAACTGGAGTCTAAACTCACTTCTCTTTGTATTTTGTTAGGATGATAAAATCGAAACACAGATGGGTGCAATATTTTTCACGCTTGTGAGAGAAGTGAGATTCATGCATAAATATAAGTGTAGATGGGAGGATGGTTTTAAATTGGACGTTAATGAAGCAGCATATGAGGATATGGACGGGATTCTGCTAGTTCAGAGTAGTGTCCAATGACGGGTATAGTGAACACGGTAATGATTATTCGGTTTCGATAATATGCGGATAATTTCAGGATCAGTTGAGCGACGTTTAACTTCAGAAGAAAGATATTGCTTCTCGGAATTCGTTAATCAGTTCACATATTTTCAAATAGTTTTTTGATCGAGCACATTATGTGGATCGCCAAGTCGCAAAAACTTTATTTTACTTGGTGGTGATTTACACGAAAGCACTCGGGGTGTTTTTTCACCAGAATGCTTTTGTCATGCTCGCATGCTTATCGGTCAAAAGTAGCCTACAACACAAAATATGAAAATAATATATTTTTTGTATAAAAGCGATGTTTTTATAGTCTGTTTTCGTGCAGCAGAATAGAAATAATCCTTCCCACATTAGTGGTAGAGTTGGTGACGTCAGGTGTCAATTTACGACTACGCTAATGTTTATTCATTTGTTAGACCCATGCCAGTTCTGCATGAAGGATCTTAAAGAATTAGTGTCAGTTAAAGGCCGAGCTGTGGCGACTTAAAAAAGTTAATATTAGGTATTTTGCTATATTTAGACGTCTTTCGTAACTGAAGTGAGAAATATTTGTCAGCGTGACCATTCTGGTCCGAATTATGATGTTTTTGGCTGGATAAATACAAATGACTTTAGCGACGTAGTCCTAGATTCAGGCGTTAGTTTGTGTCGAATGCAAAGTGTGGATGATACAAACTTAAGTGAATTGGGTCAGACGTGATTTCCATTTGTTTTCAATATAATATTTTAGGATTCGCATGGATAACAGTGAAAAACAGAATTTCAATAAGAATAACAGTTGTCCATACGAATTGAATCTGCGTTTTCCTCCAACGTTCATCTGCTCGATTCTGTCGAAATGATTTTATATGTGTAGGTACATATTTTTCTGGTCACAATTGCAGCCCTTTCTGGGGCTTGGGCCTTGTTCTGTTGGACACTGGGACCGGTGGGTTCGAATCCTACTTGAGACATGGATGTTTGTCCTCGACTCTCTGTGTTGTGCTGTCCTGTTTCGGCAGAAGCCTTGCGACGGGTTGATCACTCGTCCAAGAAGTTCTACAAAATGTATAAATAGATCAAGTAACTTCCCATATGGGAGGAGACCAAGGCTCGTCAAGGGCTGTAGAGTCACAGATAGCAATGATAAGTACATGTTTTGGTTGTGAGTTATATGTGTGAATAATTAGATCAGATCTTGCAAACGAAAAGTTATTTGTCTCACCTTGCTAACTATGGATCCATATTGCCTCTTATTATTGACTCTAAGACCATTCGGTTTGTAATAGGGTCCCTTACGTTAGCCTACTTTTATCAATTTCATTTTATAATGCCGAGACATACAAGGAAAAAGCTTTGTGTAAAAGCCAGAAATAAGAAGGAGAAAAACAATAAGCACTTTAACAAATAATATATCCTGCTGTATGAACCAGTAGGTTATAAAGTATTCCGAATGATGCTACATCTTTATAAGTGCACTTGACACAAGATACGAGTTTTCTGTGCGTCAGAAACAGTTTACAGCTTTTAGATTCATTGTGTCTCGTATTGAATTAAATTGAAACAAAAGTTTTGAGTTCGGAAGAAGAAAACCTTTAGCGATGTACACAGTAGGATCTCGGTGAGAAAGTAGCAGAACGGTGGTTGCAGGCCGTTTTGGAAGGAAGTGAAGTACAATTGACACAGCCGGTGTCGGAGTGATATTCGAAGAACATTTTATCTGTAATATTTGCTTAACTTATCGCGCGATAACTTTGAGGACCAGAACACGGCACCTGGATTCAGCAGATTTTGCGAATTTTCTAGCGTCGTTTTCTCTATTTTTCTTTACTACTGGGTATACTTAAAATTCTATGCACCATAGCACTTTCGTCACTACTAAATTCATTATCACTTTACTACTATAACCGTTTGTTTTATGGTTGTTTAACTGCAATACGTCAACTGCAGAAATGATTTTGATTCGAAAGACATGAGAATTTGATAATTTACGTTGAATTCTGAAGGATGATTTACTTCCCGGTGTCTATTTCAGATAAACTAAACAGAACCGATGGAAACGCCAGTCAGGTCAGCAGCTGAATAGGTCGAAACTCGAATATCGTACTTCCAAAATTAAAGTGAAACTCTGAAGTGTTGAGCCAGTCTGTTATGTTGCATTTATTTTGGAACACCGTGTTGCCCCAGCCTAGTAGGCTTATATTCTTACTGCTATCTTCTCCCAAACACAAACATTTTGTGCAACCAGCAGATGTAACCTGACCCCAGTTTCGTTTCAGACTGGGCGGTCGTGTGTCGATGTTATTTCATTCTTAGTTTCTAGTGATTGCAAGATTTGCAACTTTATTCGTCTATAGCAAGAGGTAATATATGAGAAGACATTGCATATTAATTTATTTATACGTTTAGAATAAACTGTTCAAAACAATACATGCATATTAAAAGATACTGTTAAACATCAACGGAAAATTTACTATATATCGTCTATTTAGCTCAGGCCCTAACTAAGGAATCTGAGCCACATACATTTACGTTGTCGCTTAGACTGGATATTTCTATGCACAGTAAATTAAAGTGATTTGGGAAAAACAGCGTAATTTCAAATTAAATTTTTGTTTTATTCCATGCTTTGTTCACAGAATATGTTATCTACATAGAATAGTTACAATAGTGGTTCAATGGGAGTTCAAATAACTAGATTTTCACAAAACCTTTTGTAATTTTATAATAGAGGATGATAATTTGAGGCGTTAAGGTAGGACCTTCAACACACAGCTACAGTTATATTTGAGAAGTCTGCAGCGTATTTATGTAAATCAGTAATTTAGCCATAAAATAGTAGTTACACATTACGCCACGACTGTTCTGGATTTGAAGTAAGTTAAATCTCGGTTGAAAGTTGCATGTAGAAAAGTTATGAAATAATTTATTTAAATAGTAAATTAATGGAGATCTATGATTGGTATTGCGACATATTTTGGTGATCATAAATAACCATGTTTGTCATAATAATAGGACGTTTATTATAAGAGATGTACGTATACTAAGAAAAAGATCACAGAATTTCTGGATTTGTTGAACGCGTTCATTTATTGGTTTGTTTATTCTAAAAGACTTTTAACGCGTTATGTTGGGTTGGGTTTGGTCAAGGATTCTCAAATTTTTGAAAAATTACAAAAATTTCTCAAAGTAGCAAAATATATTAAAAGATTAAGAACTTTAGAAAATGTTTCAAAATAAAAAGATATCAACGTTTCAGATATTTTTTCAAAAATGTTCAAAATTATCAAAATTTCCAAAATATCCCTACAAATTAAAAATTTTCGAAAATTTTTATTTAAAAAAATTCAAAACTTTGAAAAATTCCAAAAATTTCCATTGTCTATGTTAATGTTTTCCATGGTGAAAGTGGTATTGGAAACTATGTAGACTGGACGCACTTCTTTTCTTTTGCAAATAAAAAGGGTTTTCAAGCTGTTGGAACAGCTAGGAGCATTCAGAACGCGAAGGTGCAAGGAACGCATATGGAAAATCTGTACATCTGTTCGGATTGCACCCTTCTGAGCTTGTTATATTCTGTCTTTATTGTAATTTAGTTTTGCGCCATTTAAATAGACCTACATGTAAGGTTTATAATTAAATACAGAGCTGCAAATAATGCATTTCTGGAGCTGGTTTTGTTTTTTTAATCAGAAAGTTCTGTTCATAAACCCGGACTGTTGTCATAAATCAGCTGAAAATTATTAGTCTCCACGGTGTGCTATGTGAAGATTGTGGCCATGATGATTTTCTTTGTATGTTTTATGAAAAGTGAAACGCCCTTAACCACTGTGCATTAAAATGCAGGTCTTACAAATTAAGAAACTTGACATTGAACTTGAGAGTTGTTTAATTCATTCCCCCTTAATGGTACTTATTGTGACCTTCCGCGAAGAAGTTTCTTGTTATGAATGATGCGGGATCGATACCAAGACCGCGCTTTGTGTGTTACCAGGACGTGCCCGCTAAAACCTCAATCCACGTACATCGGCTTGCCAACGGACCCAACCTTGCTTTTAGTTTCAACAACTGTCCAACTCGTACATTATAATTCAGTGTGTTATTGATTATTAAGGGATTATGCCTTTCGGCGTGTTCAAATTCATGATTTATTGATGACTGATTTTCCAAAACAAAGTTAGTTTTTCCTCATTTTGTTGCTAACAGAAACGTTTTCCTTTCTCGTACTTGTCTGTGCTGTTTTAATTGTGCATTATTTACTACAGTAAGTTTAATGTTATCGGTATCACAAAATCAGGATAATGTCCTAAGTCGGAAAAATTTGAATTATCTGTTTTGTTCTAAGTTAGGGCGCAGACGCTGTGATAAGTTGTGAATATATTGTGTGGTAGGGTCAGAGGGTGTAGCTTTTCTGTAAGGATTTGTAACAGTCTCTGCTTTGTGAAGTACTTAATCGATATTAAGTCACGTGTTCGACACTCCCACACTTTGCTACCTGCCTACACTTTTGCTTTTGTTAACCGTGTGCAATGAACACCCGCCTACGAGAGAAGCCGTCAAAAAATAACTCCCCTACACACAGACAGACACTCTCGCACACTTAACTCTTAAGCGCACAAAGTTGACTACGTTCTACTTCCCATGCTTATAATTTTGGAATATTTTCTGATAAATATGGATCACAGGGCACATGTATCTCTGTAGGCGTTCGCAAGTATTAATGATTTTCTCGTTCCTTGACAGTTAAACACATTTAGTGGAAAGGCCAGTTTAAACTTAACGAGGGAAGAATTCTTTCGTATACCTTATCCCTCATAATAATTTTGTCTTCTTTAGAAGCAATACTAAATGATACCTAGCTGTAGCAGCACTAGTAAATATTTAACGTTCTCCCATCTTGCATCATTACTGAGATTTTAATCATTCATAACACACACATACAGGCCATAAACAATATCGTATTTTACATACACTGTGCATATAGACCAGTATACTGTGTACATACATAGATATTGTCTACATTATACAATATTTGCTATCCATTTCCATAAGGCCTCTTCAAATATTTGAAGCTGCTCAGCCCGATAGTTTTTGTGTATCATTTATTCATTTATAGTCCTATTTCGAAACTTTTGATTGAGTTCGTTATGACATTGTTCCCTTTCGTGCCTAATCTCGACAGCAAATGAAACGAAATTGTAACTGTATTTTTTTTGGAATAGACCGTTGGAAGACCTGCGCGTAAATGTGTCGATGATATTAAACGTTATTGCACAGACACGGTGTGAGAGGTTGCACTGAATCTGTCTGTAGATAGGATCCAGTGGTAGGTTGGTGTGAACGCCGTAATTCAATTTCTGGTTCCATAAAAGCGTGGAATGTATTGATCAGTTGGATACTGTCAGCTTCTCGACGAAGACTGTGTTGCATGTAGTTCGTGAATATTCTATATAATACTACACAAGCATAAATTACTCTTGAAGATTTCTGTCTTCTGGGTTGTTGCGCCGTGTAGTAAGGTAGATGTTTACCGACGTTTCTGAGGTCATCAGGGCGAAACGTCGGTAAACATCTACCTTACTACACGGCGCAACAACCCAGAAGACAGAAATCTTCAAGAGTAATTTATGCTTGTGTAGTATTATATAGAATATTCACGAACTACATGCAACACAGTCTTCGTCGAGAAGCTGACAGTATCCAACTGATCAATACATTCCACGCTTTTATGGAACCAGAAATTGAATTACGGCGTTCACACCAACCTACCACTGGATCCTATCTACAGACAGATTCAGTGCAACCTCTCACACCGTGTCTGTGCAATAACGTTTAATATCATCGACACATTTACGCGCAGGTCTTCCAACGGTCTATTCCAAAAAAAATACAGTTACAATTTCGTTTCATTTGCTGTCGAGATTAGGCACGAATTACTCTTGCGGGTTTCCAGACTCATGGCCATTTTAGTCCTGAAGTGTCAGTAGAACACAGATTATTCTACCTAAACACTGTCTGAGCTAGCTCAAAGACGAAGGCTGAAACTTTTCCTGTTTTAACATATTTTAATTGATTAATAAAAAAGGATAAGCCGATGGTTTTGTGATAATTGCTATATTCTATGTTGTAGAGTCGTGTCGTCTGATGGAAGTTTACCGACGTTTCAGTTATGTAGCATGTATAACAGAATTGTGTACAAAACACAGTATTCGATCAACATTCACTCTATCCCAGTTCCGAAGATATCCTCAGAGAGACATACATCGTATAATGACAGAATACATAAGAGAGAAACAGCTTAAGACAATGATTTAGTCACCGTTCTGTCCGTTTTACAGAAAACGACTTGCTTATAAGATTTATTAAGACTTTTGTTGGATGCAAGGGATGTGTAAAAATGTGTATGAGTGAAATTTGAAGCTGTAGGGTAAAGGTTGCCTTGTCATATATTGTCTGTCCCAATTAACGTAATTAGAAGCTCGGCGAGATCATAAAGTTTCATTAATTTGCAGTTAAATTTTAGCCCCAGTACCTGAGTAAGATGAACAAAGACTCGGATGGTGCAGGATGAAGAAAGGACGTAGCAAGTAGATATCGCAAAAGAGACTATTATGAATTAAACAAAAAGTGTGATGACGAAGGGAAATGAAGAAGGAAGAATGACTGGCTAAAGGCAGAAGTTAAAGTTGTTCCTGTACTTATCTGTGCCACGAGAACTTATAGGGGAGTGTGGAACTAGTTGCACGATTTTCTTACTTCCGCGCTAGATAGCAGTGGGTGATCAGATTCGTGCTCCCGCTGCTTTAACCCCGGTGAAAGGGCTCCCGCCACGCACTGGACTGGGTTAGAGCCGGTGTGGAAGCTGTGGCGAAGAGAAAAATCCGTACTTCTGCCGGAAATAGATCCAAGGCCGTACAGGCAATTGCTAGTCACTATGAAATCGTCTTGGAAATGCGGCAACTTCTCTGTCTCTGAACGAACATCAAAGGTATGTCGGAAATATGAGCTTGTAATACGGTATTTTCAACATAAAAGAAGTTTTCAGAAAGGCTCTTGTATTTGATCAGTATACGTCACAGATGCTTTGAATCAATGGAAAACGGCATATCACATCATACTGATAACACGGTGCAGTCTTTCGGCTGCAGGACTGTATCTGCGAAACATACTTATATAACCAAGAACTCATAGGATAGTCGTAGAAACCCTCAGATCCTAATAACTTCCCCCACCATCCACCAGAAGTTGTAAAGTATGTTTGTATCATATAACCTGAAATATAAAATATTTCCTTGTTGGTACGCTTATAACAGGTTTGATGGCACAGAGGAACACGATCGATACGAATATTTGACACTCTATT